TTCTCNCCCTCCTCTCCTCCTCCTCTCTCTCTCTCTCTCTCTCTTCGCTCGTCCTTCTCAGTCCCCCAGTCCTTCCACTCCATTTCTTATTTTTCACGTATATTTTTATAATTATCCTCTCGTATCTTTCCTCCTCTTTTCTCTCTCTTTTTTCTTTTTTTTTTTTATTTATCGATAAGCGTTATGGAATTTAGGTAGACGACGACAATAGACGAGGTTACTTCGATTCATCGATTTATTTGTCGGGATTTTATTTTCTCCGATTTATTTCGAACACCTTTTTTCGTACCCTCTTCTCTCTTCCTTCCTCGTCTTCTCCTCCTTCCCTCCCCGTGGTCGCAACGCGCAAGCCCTCGATATTCAAACGTTAGGAGAGAGTCGGTCGGAGTCAGAGCAAACTGGGAGAACTCGGAGCGCGTTCGTCTCGCTCGCCGTGGAAACTTTCGTCGGCTAGGATAAAGCGTATATGAATGGAATGGAATTCTCTTCCCGCGAAGATAATTCTGAAGTAAAGTTGTTGCGCGATAGATCGAATCTCTTTCGCTTTCTTTTTTTTTTTTTTTTTTCTTATCCTTTGAAAGAATCGTTGTTTGTTCCAACGTTTATTCGATCGTCAAGATAAAATGGATCGTCAAGGAAAAATGGAAAATCCATCGAACGTTGTTACTTAATCGACGGTTTAAGAGTTGATTAAATATCCCTTTCGATTGAAATCTTGAGCTTTTTCATTGATATAATTTACGAATTAAACCGGTATAATTTTAACGTATTTACGGGTATATTTTTAAAGTATTATTAAGTACAAGATATAATGTACTTGGTCGAATTAATTAATGCTAGATTGGAAATATATTTTTCAATTATGTTTTACAATAAATGATAATTATATATCTGATTTATTTCGAGTCCTTTTATCTTGGCAACCGATTGTGATGAAACGAAAAGCGACCATCAATTTTCTCTATTTCTTGATTTTCGTCACGAGATCTTTCAACAAAAAAAGTCAAAATTTTATTTCACACTTTACGCGAATGTAATTTCAATTTTTACATATCATCGGTTCTTTCTGTACGAATCTGAAGAATAAATCTAATCGAATAAACTACTCCCAATAGAAACTTCAGCCTCGTCGAAATGTATTAAATTAAATCGGCGTATGAGCAATTAAAAGTGTTTGATGCGTTCTATCGAATGCGGGACGAGCTCAAACTTGTATATCGTTTCAAGGAACGACGAGATATCAGTTCGTTAAATTCAGATTCGCTACGAAATCGATGGATAACGTTATATCCACGCAAAACTCGGCGATATCGGCGCCAAAACCCCGACAAATCCGGGGCCGAAATTAACACGATTAATAAACGTCGACCAAGATGTTGCGATATCCAACCATCGAATGTAACCACGAACATGCGATCATCGAATAAAAACTCTCGAAATAACAAAGGTGAACCCCTCCATTGCGAGCGAGTTCGAAATTTCGCTGCCCATTGGTTTACCGCCTTCGACATTTCGACAGATACGATAACAAACGTTAAGCTGCGTGCACAGACCGACGTATAGGAATCGCAAAGAGTCGAGGAATGGAACGAAGGTAGAGAGACGCGTTTTATTCAACTTTTTAGAAATCGCCGGATCCTAAAAGTATTTAAGTATTTCGTACTTTCCAACTTTTAATTTCATATAGCTGAAGTGACAAACAATATTCCATCCATGATGTGCTTGCAGTTTTGCTCGAAAGAAATCACCAGTTAATCTTGCTCGTCCGTTCTGCAGGTCGAATTAATGAAATGCCTGTGAAATCTTATTTTTCCGCGTGTACCACTTTCTCTTTCGTTATCCTGATCCTGCACACATCCGTTTAAATATCTCCCCCCGAGTTTATGTGGAACTAAACTAGCGTGTATTTTCCCATTTATAGGAAAAGCTCTCCTTCCTATCGTAGAAGCATCGCATTGAATAACCGCGTTGCGAATAATTCCCTGCTAAATTGCTCTCGATACGCTTGTAACCGGTTCAACAACAATACCTTGAAATCGAGCCCGATCCTGTAAAGTGATTTCATCATCTGTGTCCACGGATCAGCGAGGAAAAAGAAGCGTATTACATATTATTGTATCGGTGAAGTTTTCGATTTGCACAACTCCTACGTGAAAAGATTTCTTGGGGGCTTGAAATTTTAAACACTTCTCCTCCCCGTTTCGTATCTTCTAGGGAGGGAAGGGAGTACACATACTAATCCTCGCTTCGATTTATGAACCCGCGTAAATAACGTTTTAACAACGGCGACCCAATTATGCAAATTGGCAGTGCTCACGATCCGTTCCTCAGAGCGGTTAATTACGTTGATCGATCGTCAATCCTGGGAAGAAAAAAAAAGAATGGAGAAACCGCGTTGAACTCTCGGACTCTCGTCGTCGTCGTCGTCGTCGGTGGCAACGTTCGTATCCCATCCTCTTCAACAACGGAACTCTGTTTTCCTTACCGGTAATTGGAGCACGACTGAAACAAGTGAAAATTATTTTCAGGTCAGGGCTGATCGTGTTTAACTATCGATTTCGAAAAAAAAAAAGAGAAAAAGAAAAACGCAAGTGGGGAGGGGAGAAGGGTTCTATGTCGTCGCGACATCGAGAGCGAGAAACAATCCATTAAAATATTTCTCGACTTCTCGAGTTCGACGATGTTTCAGAGTCATCCACGTTTTTCTTTCTTTTTTTCTTTCTTTTTTTATTATTAATGAATTATTATATTCGTTTGTTACATATATGTTTCGAGGAAATCGTTTTTTATTTTTCTCGTTGAATTTCAAATTTCAACGATTTTTTTCATCGTTCTATCAGAAAAATCTTGGTTGAAACTTCGATTTGAACGAGATAACGTGCTCTTCATCCCGATGAGAATTATTGTTAACGAGAAAGAGAGAGAGAGAGAGAGAGACAAAAGAGCAATGGACAAATGACTCGTGATATTCGTTCTTTGTACAACTGATCCGTTTTTCGACGGTCGATTGCTTTGTATTTCCTCCATCCTATCGGCCCAATAAAATACGCTAAACGCGTTACCAGCGAAGCGTGATGTATGGAAATTTTAACTTCGTTACGCGACACATCCCTGCTTTCAGATTTAACCCTCCCTCCCTCTCTCTCTTTCTCTCGATATTATTCCCTCTACGATGCAAATTTCTATAGCGTTCTGTTCACGGTAACGCGTTTAAAATAATTCCACTACATCGCCATACGTTCGACGAATTTCACTCAGCTACGCTCAGTTATTCGTTTCAACTATCCGAAACGAATCTAGAATATTCCTCGATCTTGGTTCGAGGATTCTGTATAATTCTGAGAATTAGATGAAAAATAGATAGAATCGGGACTTTTTTGAAAATGGATGCGTGAACAGCTATATAATCGTTCTTAAAGCAAAATAATAAAATTTCGATTCGCTATATAATGCAACTTGCGTAAAATAAAATAATTCTGGAGAAGGGGAATTTTTTCGAGAGTTTTTATTTTTTTAAACGGATTTGCATTTTTTCAGAGGAAAAAAACAGTAGCCTCCGTTTCGATCAACGATATCCAAGAATATGAAAAGAATATACAACACCGTTCGACAAAGAACCGGAAGGATTTGTAAAAGAATGAAACAAATCGATATGGATCTGAACGAAGCCGTAAAGAAACTGTTTTAGTAACGAAGCTTTACTACGTTGATATGAAACATCTATTTACTCCTAATATAATTAGAATGTATTATCCTTCTTTACCCAATCTTATTTTGCTTATAGCATATTCGTCTCGATTTGAGGAGGTGGAGATAAAAAAAAATGAAATCGACCATTTCCTTCGTTCTTCGATTTTGTCGATCGATAATTCAACGCCTTTAATTCGAATTAACGTGACGAATAATTATTTACGAATCGATCCGTTTCGAAGGGGGGAGGCGGTGACGTGAATGGATCGCAGGTACAGCATATAAAAACGATGCAGGCCAAAAAATAAAGATTTTATTCATCCACGTACATCACGTACAGAATAAGGTTGATTAAATTCACTTCAACTATATATATATAATATGTATATTTTCTGTTGATCTTCCTCTTCTTCTTCTTTCTCTCAATGTTTAATGCGCATATCTCTCTGACCTCTAGAATATCTAGTATCTAGAATATCTACACGTCTTTATCTTTTCTTTCTTTTTTTTTTTTTCTATATATATATATATATTTTTTTCTCTCTCTCTATTTTTGGTTCCTATAATATACTCTTCTTTCTATCCCCCTTTGCTCTACTCTCCTCTACCATCCGCAAGATCGAGAAATCTAAAATTTTTCTTCTTCGAGTAGAATATAATTAATATGCAGCGTGGCGGCATGGCCAAATATCCTCCCGTATTTCTCGAAAATAATCCATTTTTTATCGTGCAAATGTTACGATTACAGCCTCGCTAAAAAAAATTCGCTCGTTGACAACAGGAAAACCAATTTCCATTTACGTTTCACTCTCGATTAGTCTCATTCTACGCGTCAATCGATCAATTTACTAAAAAATACATTATTCTTCCTAGATAAAAGAAAGGGCATTCTCGAGCGCACACACAGGGATCATTGTAATATAGACGATGTATAGATAGCGAAATAATCTTACAATTAATCGATTTAATCAAATAATAATAATAATAATAATAATAATAATAATAATGGAAACTTCTCGAGTGGAAGTTCCTTCGGTCAATCAATCGTCTAATAATCGGATAATGGATCTAGGTCGTTGGTTATCATTTATTTGAGACACGTGAAGCCACGAAATATCTGTCTGCAACTGGAGGGAACATCCCGTGGGTTTATATTCACTTTTCCGGCGAAATAATCTCTTTACTCGCATTTTTTTTCTCCTTTTCTTTTTTTTTTTTCTTTTTTTTTTTCCTTACAAAAGCACATGGACTAACGATTAGATTACGAGACAACGAGTACAGCGAGCGAGCAATGCAAGCGAAAAAACTAAGGGGAAACTAAGTCGCCCCTCGATAAATATATCTGTTTATTTATTCGAGCTCTGTCCTCGTATAATAAGATAAGAGATGTACAAAACCGAGATACGATATGGAAATCAAAGAGAGAACACGCGCGACGAAGGGCGTGTGATCGATCGCATGCCTCGAATCGAACTAGTCCATGCGTGCGAACGTCAGATTGAATTTACGTGTTTTTCTACTCTTGATTCTACACGCACACGCGCGCACACACGCGTGTTTTCCTTTTAAAAATTTTGAATTTTTATTTTAATTAACTATCGGGGGAGAGGAAAGTCTTCGACTTTGTCTCGCTACTGTTGTACATATGTATTTCATCGTGGTCGTTTTGTTTTATTTATTTATATATATATATATTTTTTTTTTCCTTTTTTTTTTTCTTTTCTTTTTTTTTCCTTTTTCTTTTGACGCGGTCACGCGAATCAACAAATTTTGGTAAAAAATCGTCCTTATTATCTGAAATACAATTGTGCGTCGTGTTGAGGGATCGTGGATACGCGTGGATATGTAAGTTCAAGGGTGGATAATACAGATTTTTGCGGGAAAAGTATTATACGCTTGACGAAGGGATTCTTTAAGAGAGACAGAAAACATGCGTTCAGCGATCGGTGAACGTACACAGGTTAGGTTACCAACAACGCGTAAATCGTGTTACGAAAGTGTTACGACATCTGATAAAAAGAATGGGAAAAATTTTCGTATAAAAAAGAGAAAGATCCAAAGGAAACGAAAATTGATAAAATCATACGACGATTACCTCGAATTCTTTGCCTTTGTTGGAAAATTTTGGTCGAATCGAGAAGATTAATCGAAGATTCATAATATAATTTGAATAATTCCTTTTTTAATTCCTCCCTTAAAACTGGACACGGAAATTGGACAATTTGGAAAGGTTGCTTGCAAATTCCTTTCATTCCTTCGAGAAATCCATGCATGTGTAATATACGTATAATCGAACATCTAAGGATCTAATAACGATCTATATCGAATCGATATTTATATTATATATATATAT